TTTAATTTTCACTATCTGTGTTCTATCTTGTGCGTTTTTTGCATTTTTTTAAAGATGTTAATATAAATTGGGAACATGTTATGATTTAATCTTAAAATATTCTTTTTGATGACTATTAATGCATTACATTCATTCATTTTTTTCATTATATGCCACTTTCATCATAATATGGATTTTTTCCGTTTTAGACTTTAATAGTTCATGTTTTTTTTCAGTACATTGATTGCAAATTGAAGCACATTGATATATGCATTTATTTTCAAAATATTTATATGATGCCTAAATACTTGCACTTTTACTTTAGTAAAATACTTTTAACTTTTAGTTACAAATCCAAATATTTCTTACTTTTTAAATCTATTGTACCTTTCATAAAAATATTTTGTTCATTTCATTTGTACTACTATTTCAAAACCATAATATACTCGTATAATTGAATTTTAATTTTCACTATCTGTGTTTTATTTTGAGCCCTTTTTGCATTTTTTTAAAGATGTTAATATAAATTGGAAACATTTTATGATTTAATCTTAAAATATTCTTTTTGGTGACTATTAATGTATCATCAATAATATTGTTAGTTATCTCAAAACAAAAACGAAATATAACATATCTTATGGAATGTATTACTGAATATAGTTACTTTTAATGTGCGATATTTTTTAAAATTTTGCTAATATTTTTCAATAATAACTAATTTTAATCAAAATGTTATTTGTTTCAGTATATTGATTGCAAATTTAAGCACATTGATATATGCATTTATTTTTAAAATTTTTATATGATGCCTAAATACTTGCACTTTTTTACTTTAGTAAAATACTTCTAACTTTTAGTAACAAATATTTCTTACTTTTTAAATCTGTTGTACTTTTCATGAAAATATTTTGTTCAGATCATTTGTACTACTATTTCAAAACCATAACATATGATTGAATTTTAATTTTCACTATCTGTGTTCTATTTTGTGCCTTTTTTGCATTTTTTTAAAGATGTTAATATAAATTGGAAACATTTTATGATTTAATCTTAAAATATTCTTTTTGATGACTATTAATGTATCATCAATTATATTCTTAGTTATGTCAACAATAACGATATATAACATATCGTATGGAATGTATTACTGAATATAGTTACTTTTAATGTGCGATATTTTTTAAAACTTTGCTAATATTTTTCAATAATAACTAATTTCAAACAATATTTTATTTAATGTATTGATAAATGTATTCATTATTAATTTTGTGACTTTGTTGACGTTTTAATTTTAATCTGATCCTAGATTAATGTATTTGTCGAATTAAATTATCACACTGTAATGCATTTTTGTGAATTATTTTGCACATTAATAGATTTTTTACTACGCATTCATATATCTATATAATATATAAATCTATATATATACATATATATATATATATATATATATATATATATAATAGTTATGTTTATTAAATATAATGATAGAATTTTGCTTCAAACATTACCTATGTTACCTTTATAATTTTGTATTCGCATTTATGTGTACTTTGCTCCCTCTAATTGAATTTTAAATTTTCTAAATCATTGTGTTGTATTTTATTATTCTGAAAGATTTTTTTCATTGAAGTTATTAAAGTAATTTTATTGCTCTGCTAACGAACATAGTATTTTTAAATATGTTATTTCTTTATGATACTTTAACTTTAAAAAAAGGCTCAAGCTTTTTTAATATCTTAGCCTACATTTATATCTGTTGTTAAAAAAATTGCACTTAATTCGACGATGTGCAGTTATAGAAAGTCGTGTTCTATATAACAAACTTTATTTCCAAGTCATAAGATATCATTGTGTTTTTGAGTAAAGCATTCTGCAGTTTTAATATGACAGTATTTTTTTCACGTTTTTCACAAATTGATAGATTTGTGCAATATTTAAATAAACATATTTTTTATGTTGATATTTTTGCTATTTTTATGTTGATAATGGAATTTTGATAGTGATATTTTGCTTAATGGAGTATTTGCAAGTTTTAATCTCAGTTTTTATATTTAATAATAATTTTATATTTAAATATATTTTTATATTCTTTTGACTATTTTATTTTTAAATGCATCAGATTTTCAAATGAATAAATTTTACTACTTTTTGCTTTGGCATCACTAGATATTTTTAAACAAAATCCTCTAGATTTAAATGTTTTTTTAAAAGTATTTTCCAAAACTTTTATCCAATGGAATTTATGTATAGTAATAAAATTTTTAACCAAGCAATTTTGTACTCTATTTTTTTTTTATTAAATATCAGATATTGCTAATTAATTTTTCAATTTTCTACAAAAATAATCTACTATCTACAATCTACATTTAGTTTGCTCTTAAAGTGTGTTCCTAATAACATTATCATATTATTGATCTCCAAATATTAAATGATTCAGAACGATTTATAATCTTAAAATTTTCTAACAAGATAACAAATATTAACTGAATAATGAATTATATCAGTTTATGTGAGATATGATATGTTTACCTAATTTGATGTCATTAACACATTAATATATTTATTGAATTTTATCGTTTCAATACAACTGTCTCATATTTATAATAATTTTCTATTGATAATTTTGCTAATATGTGTAAACTGATAAGAACACTTCATAATTCATAATTCAGAATTCATAAATAGGTCATCGGGAATTGGGAATTATTTTATATATGAATAAAATGTATTAAATAAAAAAACATCTTTTTTTTAAATATTGATGAAAATATTATATTAATTATTTTTATAAAAATACATCCATTAAGCAAGTTATATCAGTATCTATTTAAACATTTTTTTTTGTTGCTGTATAAATGAATGTTGATTTTTGAATTGCAAATTGTTAGTAAATGGAATCCACAGTTCTTGTCGGCATCTTATTTTTGTAATTGATAATTCAATAAAATATTGTCTTATCTAAATGGTAATTTAGAATTTTTTATCATATGATGCATTTATAAATTTAATCATGAATGATAATTATAATATTTTGCGTACATTTTTCTATTCAATCTTATTAATTATATATGTGAGAATTATTTTTTCATGTTATTACTATACACAAAATATTTTTTCAATTATTAATTTTTATGATTAATTTATTACTATTTTCAATATTTACTTCTATTAAGATTTACTTTTATGAATGAAAAAGTTTTTCATTCAATAATATAATAATTTTGTTTTAAACTATTATGTGAAACTAAATGCAATATATTTTCTTTACTTACAATATTTATATATATGACGACGTGTCGACATATGATCGACACATTTTCATCCTCATCGAAATTTTTTTGCATTAGAATTAATATGAATTTGCATTAGAATGAAATAATAATGAATTCATTATCAATAAATATTAAAATGGTAATTTTTGTTGCATACAGTTATGATGCAGATAATTGTATTTACTTAAGTTTGTCTTGCATTTTTGCAATACGTATTTAAATTAATTTTTACTACTTATACTAATGTTTTTAATAAAAATGACCATTTTTTTCCCGTCGGGAGAAGCCAAACTCCCACCGGGCGCGTCCCCAGGTGGCGGATAGGGGGTGTCCTAACCGATCGTAAGATCGGCGGATTGGGGCGAAATAAAATAGTCCCCGCGGACCAAATTTGGCGTTGGAGCTGAAGAGTAACAGCCACCACGTGTGTCTTTTCGGAAAAAGCTCGCTGATCTTCGGATCAGAGGGTAAGGGCGAAATAAAATAGCTCTCGCGTTAAAAAACAAAAACTTCTCTTTCGGCAGAAAGGGTTGGTTATACACCATCTGACCTGACCTATGGCCACGTACGCAAGCGGATAAGGGGACACTGCTCGAGAGAGATGAGTGGTTGATCCATATAGCGCAGTGTGCGTGGTAACTCCCACGGGAGAAAGAGGATGCCCGTCGAACTACCAGAATTTAAACAAACAAGAGACAGGAGGCTATTCATGGACCTCGAGCAGAGTTTGTTTATCAGAGGCCTTTTTTTGGGAGTTTATCAGAGATAGCAGAACTGCGAGAAAGATGGCACGCACTACACTACGCTCCACAAGAGAATCATGGCCGAAAACGACGAGTCCTGCTTGAGGTAGCCCACTCTGTACAGCTTTACAGAGCAGAGATATGGGTAAATATTCTTAAGCAGAACACCTATCAGCCCAAAATTGCGGCATTGTTTTTTAGTGGATAAAAATGTCCACACCACCGTTCATTGTTTTCTGTCAGAACAGGCGGCAGAATATTTACGATGGCGGTGTCATATTTTTTTGTACCTGTATGAAAAACACGCACACACACATACATCAATTTTATCTAAAGTATGCCAAAATGTTTAGAAACCTTTGAAACGTAAAGATATATAATTTTTTTTATTTTCGATTCTTTTTCGAAATATTAGTTTAACATTTGATACTAACTATGTTTTTAATCGTACTGAATCTGGTTATGGATTTTAATAAATTGTATGTCAGTGCTTCTATCCTTTTAAAATTTATTACACCTTATAATATAATTACAAATTATACTGAATTAATATTTGATGCAAAAATTAATAATGATGCAAATCCGTGATGAAATTATTTTTACAATATCTCCTTAGTTATATTAATAAACATGATAATAACTGATCGCATTTATCAACTGTGAGTTTATAGGAAAAACGTTGTTTGAATCTATTATTAATAATTAAATTACTAAAATGGGATTTTTTTATAGCGTATGTTGCATACATAGCTTTGTTGGAGATAATTATAGTTGCTTAGCTTCGTCTAGCCTTTTTACAACATTTGAATTAATTTTTATGAATGCATCATAAATATATTTTTGTGAAAATATGATTCGCATTTTTTGAACAAATATTTAATTTTTCTATATTTCTATATATGTATTTTATAGGAGTAAATACTCAAGCTTACAATTTTATATTACATTTTATTCATTATTTTAAGAGATATTTTATAATATATTTCCGAATTATATTTGCATGTTAACTATATCGCACTTGGTACTTTATCCAAACGTCCTTTGGAGAAATTATGAATCCTGATAGTTCTCCCCGGCGCGGCGGTTTCTCTTTTCCGGGTGCTGGTGAAAATATGAAATTTTGAACTAAGGATGCAAACATCAGGAACATATTCTGACGTGCAAACGTTTCTCCAGCACACAAACGTTTTCCTGAAATTAAACATTTTAGAGAACATATCAGCATTTTAATCTTGATTTTGTGAGCAATTTTTTAAATCTTCTAGTCTTTTAGCAAATTCAAGCTTTTCTTCTAATATTTTCAAACTCATATATGACTCATATCATAGTTATGACTTTTATTAAATGTATTATATTTCTATCAGATTTATATGCATGTTATGTGCATTGATATTTTGTATGATTCATTTTCTATATATGTAATTTAATGGATTTTGTGTCTACCTGCTCCAAATGGTAAAGTGATATCTTTTTTCTTTAACAAACCGCGTGAATCCAAAAATCGTTCAGGTCGAAATACTTCAGGATCTCCCCATATATCGGAATCGTGGTGTATACTCCATAAATTGGTTATGACCATAGTGTTCTGAAAGTATTAAAAGCACAGCATTCGTAAATTCATTTTCAATCGTTAAGTTGTCTAAAATTTTACCTTTGGTATATTGTATCCATTTAAGGAGGTGTCAGTTTGGGCGCGATGCGGCAAATTTAAAGGAACCAAGGTTTCAATTCGCATAGTTTCGCGCAGGCATGACTCCGTATACGGCATGCTGAAATATATTAATTAACATTATTTTTTTAACTTAAACTTATATAAATTATTTTTTCAACTGTTCAGACTAATTTTGCACTTGCACTTATTAAATTTTGAATAAACCTATTTCTATTATAGCGTAAGTTGCATACATAGCTTCGGTGATGATAATTCAATTATATCGTTTAGCGTTTTTGCAATATTTGAATAAATTTTTATAAATACATAAATATTCTTTTGTGAAAATATTATACGCATTTTTGTGAAATTATTTAATTTTTTCTATACTTCTATATATGTAATTTTAATCATCTTCATGTGACAAAAACTTCAACTTATAATATATATTTTTGAAATCTTATAATATTTTTAATAGTACAAAACTGCATCTGTACAATTATAACATGCGGGTACGTTTGTAAGGCAACGCGTGGAACTTCTTTAATGAACATAATTTTGCTAACTGAACTTATATAATTTATTTTTTCAACTGTTCAAACTATTTTTGCAGATCTTGTTAATCTGTTGCATATATTAAATTTTGAATATACTTATACAATTTTTTAATACATACTGAATCGACCAAGTGTTTTTGTTAAACTCTGGAACAACATATTTTCTATCGCATTTTATATATATTGTTCTATCTACCAATTTGTCAACAGGCCAATAAATTCATGTAAATTTTTAATATAAAATTTTTAAATTTTTTATTCAATAATATATAATTATATTTTTTTATTAACAATTGTTATTGACTTGTGCAATACACTTTTGCTACCTTTTTTTCTTTGTTGTGTTGTGCATTTTTTATATAATATTTAGTGTACGGCAATTTAATTCAACTTGCATCAAATTTTTCATTACAGTTTTTAAATTCCTGATGAAATTTTTAAATATTTTTTGGAACAACTTGTTTCTTTTACTTAGTCTGTCATCAAGATTTGGCAATAAATTAAAACAATATATTGGACATACTTGCGCAATCCCAAAGCTCTATATCGGATGGGATTTATTATAGATTTATATATCAATAACTTATTATCAAGTTACATGATTGATTTGCGTCTCATTAGCCAATTTAGGTCTGTAACCTTCTGTCACAATAAAAAGTTGAAATTGAAAATTTTTGCATATCTTCACGTTTTGGTTTCTGAATATTTTGGCATACCTTAGAAAAAATGGATGTATGTGTGTGTGTGCTTTGTGTGTCCGCAATTTTTCGATCCCGTTTTCGGCCGGACGGATCAAGCGATTTGAATGATCCAAAAAACATTCGATTTCTATTGATATGGAGATGTGCTGATTAGTTTAGGACAAAGACAGGTCCAACCGTTTTAGAGATACGGAATAAAGAGTGCAAAAAATAGAAATCTAGTTTTTGAGAGAACGGAGCATCCGATTTGAATGATTTAAAAATTTTCTACTTGTGTTGACAAAACGTTTGCTTTTGGAGAGAGGCACATTTTTTTTTTTTAATTTCCAAAAAATTTTGTTTGAATATCGAAAATACTGATAATAAAAAATGATATGGCAAGATTTGTTCTTCTATGTCTTAAATATTGGACCCAGCACTCTTCTTTATGGAACGCCAGCTCTTATTGAGGAAGAAGTAGAAGTTTCATAGTTAATCCTGATTTGTAAATGAATAAATTTTTGCTGGCGGAAAAACACTGCACCTAAATTTAAAACCTGCTCGGTCACATTTTCAAAATATTCAGTTTTCTCGAATAACTTTATCCGAGACAAGAAATAAGCGGAGGTTTTAGTCGGTATTATACCCAGGCGGTATTGAGTCCGACATACCATGACAAATGACCTAGTCTTGGTATGCGTAAATGCATTTCCTTCGCTATATAAAATAAAAAAAAAATGAAAAGAGCAGATTTTTCTTTGCGATTACTTTTCGGATTGAGAAATTGTTAGCGAATTGTTAGTGGAATGTAGTCCACAGTTCTTGTCGGCATCTTGTTTTTGTAATTGATGATTCGATAAAATATTGTATTATCTAAATGGCAATTTAAAAATTTTTATCATATGATGCACTTATAAATTCAATTATGAATGATATTTAATATTGTGCATACATATTTTTATTCAATCTTATTGATTATATATGTGAGAATTATTTCTTAATATTATTAATATAACAAAATATTTTTTCAAAGACTAATTTTTATGATTAATTTATTAATATGTTATTGACTTGTGAATTAAACTTTTGTTACATTATTTTTTTCGCTTGCTGCGCTTGA